CTAACCCTAAACCTAACCCTAAACCTAACCCTAAACCTAAGGGCTTGCAAGCGGGGCGAGGAAGGAAGAGGCAGGGCGGGCGGCATCGGCGGCCCCGCTCGGGTCCCCCCGCGGGCTTCCTGCTGTCCCCCGCGGCTGAGCTGGACCCTTCCCGCGGGCTGCTGCTGCTGGGCAGCCCACTTTGCCCCGTGCCTGTTGCTGCTGTCAGCTGGAGGAGGAGGGCTACCTTTGGAGGCAAAGAACGAAGCATGTAGAACGCCCTTCTGTCGCCACGCTGTTGTCGCGGCGGTGATGACGCGTGGTGATGACGTTGCGGCTTTAGCGACACGGTTTAATCACCACTTTTTTGACAAGCGCGCTTTTGTCGTGCCACGGCCTGAAGTATGGTTAGGAAAAGTTATCTGGCCATGAGATACATGAGCAATGTAATGAATAAATACAGCTGGGGAAAATAGATGTGTATTCTATTGTTTATGATAATATTGCCTGGTGGATACGTTGTAATACATCAGATATGTTGCAATACAATCAATAGAGATCTGATAATGATTATTTCAATACATCCAATTCTCATCAAGTTAAAGAAGACTAATCTCAAACAATTTAAAGACTTGAAAAAGAATTCATAAAATAACATGCTATATTAAAGAAATTAGATCTATTTGGCAATCTTTGCCATATTTACTTTCCAATCATTAAAAGGTTATACGCTATAGGTACTAGTACAGAAGGAAATAAATACTCAGATTATCTGATAGAAAACATATTCTTAAATATCTTGAGTAATTACCACAATCAATAATAGATGCGTATGGTAATAATAGAGTAGTGAAAAAACATATGATGCTCCTAATTGCAAATAATTGCTAATTAAGAGAAAGCCATTTTTAAGAGATGAAAAGTTATGCTTTTACAAACTTAGAAGATAAGATTCCTTTGTGGGATATTGTGATGAGAAAAATGTATTTAGGCTCTCTGCAATATCCGAGTAGTAGTTGTGTCTCTTATTTTGTACACCAAAAAAACCACAGATTAACACAACAAATGCACAGTAGAAAAAACATTCCAGCATCAGCAAACACGATTCAGCCATGGATTACCAATGCTGAATTACTCTGCACTCTGCAATAAATAAACTGTATTCTCTCTATGGATCCAGGATCTAGTTAGGAATAATAATTGGGGTTTTTTTAAAGCTGCATGGTCATACAAATAGGGGCAGCTTATGAATCAAATAAGTAATAATACATCCATCTAGAAAGTGCCAAGGAAAATAGATCAGTAAATATATATTTCATCACCTATTCACTGAAAAACAGTAATACCAAAACTGCAACTTTTAGTGTAGCAAAATGAATCAACCATTCAAGAGAATGATTCACTTTTAAAAATTAAATCAGCCAACACTTGTCATACTTTTGGTACTCTTTAAACCAAGCAGATTTGCTGCCAGCATCCCAAACTCAAGCTAAAGTTTCCGGTATACTATTCGAATAGATAGGGTGCTTGAGTGTTATTTGTTATGTGAAGGAGATTTAACTCTTTGAAGTCTCAAAAACCAGGAAGGTAACCTACCTTTCAGTGGAGGAAGCCACATCTTTTTGTACTAGCACAGCTTCCCTGAAGAAAACGGAAGAGTGCAAAATTGT